AGGTCGTTTATCATCAAATACTCAAAACTTTATTCTAGCTTATGTGCATTTTCATAGTTGAATTTCGCATATGAAATCCAACAGAATTATTACTAATGCATTTTTTCCATTTCTCTTCATTATCTTTAAAAAATAGCCTATTATTTTTTTCCCATTCTCTTTCATTTCCTTTGTAGAAAAAGATGTTGTAACTACGAAAAAATTTAAAATTTTCTCCTGATATCATCCTATTTAATTTAAAAACTGCAGTGAACCGATGCTGTAGAGTTGAAGTTGAAACATCTTTCCTTTTATCCCTCATTTTTTTTGCTTAAAATTACTAACCGAAAAAATAAAACGCTCTACTTATTCAATTATTCAAGAGCTTTATTATCAGACAGGAATATATACGGGATTGACAGTACAGTTCAAGAGCCCTCGAAACTAAAGTTGATCAATTATTGAAATACGGTTCATCTTGCAATTTACAACTGAGCTCAGCGATGTAACCTGTGACAACAGCAACTTTCTGCGACTGATCTTCAGACTACTTGATGCGAATCTACCGCTTTAAAAATCTCGTCAGCGACACAAAATTTATTCCTAATGTCGACTTAAAATTAGTCTGGGAGTTCGTTTGGCCCACTCTGCGCTGCTCTCTTCTTGATCGCTACACATTATTCAGATACCATTCGCTTCAGCCTGAAGTAAATTAAGATCTCAATTCAAAAGTTCAAAATAGAGCAATATGACGGTACTACACCACTTTTACCATCACTCTTCGATTACCAACCTCGCGAAACATGGAATAAACCCTGACTTTCATCACTTCAACTACTCTTTGACTATGTTCAACTATTGCATACAACAATAAATCACCAAATTTGTCCACGCCCACTTTCAACAAAACATTCGAGACGAACTGGAGAGGAACATTTTACTGACAGGTCAATTCAAGCGTCTTATTACCAAATAAAGTTACTTCTTCCTTTATTCCTCTTCCACTATAATACTGCGTACAACTGTGAATGGTGCTGTCATCGCTGTGCACTCGCCAAGAGTTTAAAGTAACAAAGTAAAACCTGACTTACAGAGTCTCAAAAATGCGTGATTTACAAAAGTTATTGCAAAATACAAAATGATCGAGTCGCAGCTCTAATCTATTAGCAGTTCCGGTTTCAATTACATAACAAAATCAGATCAATATCAGATTCGAAAGCATAAAGACGAAAAAAACATTTATGAGCAAATTAAATAAGCAAAGACTCAAACAACCACGGTACAATTAACAATTTGGAATTTATTAAGCATAATGACCTGAACCCGTTACCATAATGACATTGTTATAAAACGTCGTAGGTAAAGCGACGCCCACGAGCGAGCTACTCCGTTATAAAACAACCCAAGGATCATACACAAATATGAAGAGTTGTCTAAAGCAAGCGAAATTAAACAACCGGTTAATGAAACTAAAACTTTCAAACCAGAACCAAAAGATAATCTAAAATAAAAGTGACACAGTTAAGCAACAGACTGACAGAATTTACAAGTATTATCTACAATACTTCCTTAAAACGTAACCATACCATCAATTTAAGTTAACTGCACAATAAAAATTTTATGTACACACTTTAAGAGCTAAGAAACTCTTCCAGTATTGTTACTTCACTTTGGTTTTTGGTGCTGTCATCGTCAGTACTCTGTTCACCATTCGACGCTGGAGCTAAATTAAAAAAAAAATCTTAATTTTAATAGTCATTCAAAAAAGTTTTACTGTTTTTCATCAGTTATTCTCGGTGTCAAAAGACTATTGCAACGATTACCAGCAGTAAAGCGAACAGCAGTTGAAGAATATGTCTGTACCCACTTCCTAGCCAGCTCCACTTCCTGTCTATACTGTTCCTTTTCTTCCTTCAGTTGATTTTTTAAACTATTAATCTTCTCTTCACCAGCTGCAATCGCGACTAGTGCTTCAAGATACGTCATTGCCTGTTCCGTCTGTTGACAATATTTACTTAATGTTTCAATTTCCTTTGTCAAACTAGCTAACTGCTGAAAACCAAATATTTTTGAGAAATTAGAAATCATTCGTAACTGTTTCGTGGTTTATTTTAGAAGTAAAAGTACTGTCAAAGACAATGACTATTAATTAGAAAAAACAATTTTTTATATAGATATTCAAATCGGTACCTTCGAGATGTTAGGGATGGAACGAAAGTAATCATGAGCTGCAATAACGCACTGCGCTCTTTCATTGCACATTTGTTGTAAAGTTCCTAAACGAGTGCTCGTCAAATTTGCCGCTCGTATATTTTCATCATTCATTCGTTCAATCTGCTCAATACATAACTGAAACCTGGAAGATTATAACATTAGAAACCCTTAAAGATATCCATGCTTTTTAAACTCAGTCAACAGTGCCAATATCATAGTCACTTTCATTATTTTATTGGGTTGACGCTTTTTTTGCGACAATACAAAATTTCCAATATGCACCTGCACAAACTCCATACAAAAGTCTCTCAAAAATATTTCAGTCAGTAGCAACTTGTTTAACTTACTTTAATAAAAGACTGCTGCCTGCCTGGGTTTCGACCAAAGAAGACAGAGCTTCCAGAACTTCACTAAATTTACTTATAGGTATTTCGTTACAAGTCAAAGGTTTGTCAAAAAAACTTCTCTTTTGTCGTCGCCAAATCTTTCAACTCAAAATTTACTTCCTATACAACAAGGCTTAATACTTACAGAAGCAACACTGCAACAAAAATTTAAGTTCCTACTGTCGAGAAGGAATTACCTTCATATACTTTTAGTAATTTGAATTTGTTAAAACATACCTCTGCGGAACTGCGTCTTGTGGACCTCGAAGTTTTCGAACGCTGTAAGAGAAAAGGTTATGGGAATGAATAGCAACTGTAAAATTAAGCATTACAGAATATCCCTACCTATTAGAAATTTCGTTCTGAACATTGGTTATAGCTTCTCTTATAGTTTCTAGCATCTGAAAAAAAAAAAAAAAAAACAATAAATTTTGAAAGCTCTATAAGAAAAAACAAGACGAATTACAATCCGACAAACGAATACGCCAAAAGAAAAGATGTGCTAGTTCATGATGCGTACCACAATCCACATTTGAAATAATTTCAAAAATTCCCTCTTTCAAAGTCATTATTTTTGGTTGTTTAAATATATTCAAGTTGTTTTAGTTTTTTCTAAACTAAGCTAGATATTTAAAACGCTTACTCCCTAGAGAACATAAAAAAATTACGCCGGAAAACTTCATGCTTTTCCAATCGTTTTAACCTCTTCATAAAGTCTTCTCTTTTTTGTGCTCCAAAACAACAGACACACTCTTGTGGATATAAAATTCCGAATGATTAATGAAGAAACTTATGAATTTTTTGTAAAATGAATAATCTGAATTTATGAACCATTTTTTTGTCTTAGTAATTGACTGCGTTAAGCACTTTTTGGCAATCGCTATAGGTTGTGTCATAAACCAAACACACAAAAACATTTATGTGACTGCTCATACAAAACCGGAAATCACTCGAGGGGTACGGAAACTCTGCGATTACAAATCATAAGCCTAATAGAATGACGGAGTACCATAGGAGATAGTGAACAAGGAAGGCCTAGTTATTGAGAACCTCTCCAAAAAGAGTATATAGGAAAAAGAAATTAAAGCCTGACATAATGGTGCGCAGCATGAAGATTTGGGAAGGCAGTCGCCAACAAAACGATATATATATATATATATATATATATATATA